GACGGAAGCTGCACAGCAGCTCCGGCCGCGAGTAGGGATGAGAGAGGGCGCGGAAGGTGTCCAGCGGGCGGATGGAAGTGGCGAAGGGCGACGACGCCGCAGCTGCTGCGCCAGAGGCTGCGGCCGCCGCTGCCGCCGCCGTAACACCCACGTGCGGGTAGTAGTGCAGTGGCACGTGCGAGTGGAAGGGGTAGGGCAGGCTTCCGGTGGCGGCCGCGTGCGTCATCATGTAGGTGTAGAAGCTGGGGTCGGCTGGGTGCGGCCACGACATGGCCAACCGCTGCCGCTTGTCCTTCATGCGCCGGTTCTGGAACCACACCTGCGGGGAGAACCGCGTGGTGGCCCGGGTTAGGGAGAGCCCCATGTTCCCGGCCCCCGGCCCGAGCCTTCCTGCCCCTCCCGGACCTCTGAATGGCCTGGCCTAGTCCTCTGTGACCGAGCCCAGCCCGAGTCCCCTCTGCTCTCACAGCTGGCACAGTGTGGAGGGCAGTACGTGGACCGCTGTGGGCACACTTTACTCAGCAAAGAGAGCCTCCTCTAGGCTGCTGCGGCTCCCTGGGCTTTTGCGCCCTTACCTCTTGCTGCATTTTCTCAACCCAGCCCAACCTTTCCTCTCCCTCCCGCCACCCACCGGTGCCAGGCCTTGCTGAGCACCCGTCTCTCAATCCCAGGATTTGCTCGGGGATTCTAGGCAGACTTTGAAGAGAGGCTGCCGTGCAGCTTTTCTGAGAGGTGGCCGCGCGAGGTCTTGAGCTCTCCGAGCTTCTTGGACCTGCCCCTAGGGGCACGGGTCCGATTTTGATATTGAAGGGAAAAGTTTATTCTTTCGTTTGTCTTAAATGAGTGGCGAGAGCAATGTCCCCATAAAATGCGAAAGGGGACTTTTTTACCCCCCCCCAACACAGTATCTAATAAAGACATCATTCATCACGACCCTAAATTAAAGAAAGCCTGATCAAACAGGAGGGAGATTTACACATCCCTCCTCTACCCACTGGGGTTTTCTCTTTTCTTTTTCTAGAGTGTCGAATGCTCCGTGAAGTGTTCACCAAGTCGCCCAACGTCACAGCTATCTCTCCCGGATGTATAATAAAATTAATAACCTAAAGATATGTATAAATAAGAAGAATTTCGTTGCATTTTCTCCCCAGGAGGTTGCCTTTTTTCCATTGCCCAAGAGAAAACTTTGGGAAACTACTTTTTCAACCCAATCGATTTTTAAAATACGGTATCCATTTCTTCATGTTCTAACGATTTGTGTGGAATATAAATCTCCAAGATCAAGGGCAATTGAAAAGTTTGGCCTTTGGTTCGTGCTAGAGGAACAAAGACCAGCCGGCTTTGTTGCCTAGGGGAAAGTGGGGCCCTGGGGCCTTGGGCCGGCTTTGGGCAGAACCGAGTGGAGGCAAGCGTTTGCGGCATCGTTGCTGCCATTCAGGAACCATCCCCGGTCAGCCAGTCCGGCCAACTGTTCGAATTCGGCAGCCGGGAAATAAATAAAGCAATTCTTTTGGTGACTACCCCCCGCAGATTTCCAGGACCTCAGCTAAATCTAGCCACCCAGAAAGGAGAAAGGGGAAAAAGAAACAAATCAACATAGGTGGGCCCCGGGGGGGCAGAGCAGGCGCGCGCTGGAATCGATACCTTGATGGTGGTTTCGGGCAGGTTAAGCGCAGCGGCCAGCTCGCACCGGCGGGGCCGCGACACGTAGTTTTCCCGGTAGAACTCCTTCTCCAGGCGCGCGATCTGCTCGCGGGTGAACGCCGTGCGGTAGCGCCGCACCTGATCCGCGCCGGAGCCGGAGCTGCCCAGCGCCGCACCCCCGCTGCCGCCGCCGCCTCCATGCAGGCTACCGAGGCCCGAGCCCGACGCCGACGTCGTGGTGCCCGCGGTCGAGCTGCTCTCCGCGTACCCTGGCAAACAAACAGCCGACAGCTCATGAGTCGCTGTAGGGCCGAGAGCCCTGCGCTGGGGCTGCACGAACAAGGAGAGTGGAAGCCAAGTCAGGAAGGATAGTCGCTGACGGAATTGATGCGGGTCTGTCGCACTTACTAATTGCTACTGTTAATGTAATCAATAAAGTTTGGGCAGCCCTTCTAACCACATAATAGAAACCGAATTAGGGAGGTTTTTAAAAATTAGAAATTTTCAGCTAAGGAGGAAAGCCGGACGAGGGAAAACGCCTACCTTGGGCGCGGTTTGGGAAGCTCTGGGTTTGCCATGATCTGGAGACAGCAGGGCAGCTTTCCGTATGGGCCTCTAACCTTTCTTTGACAGTTTTTGGGGTTTGGTTAAAAACATTTTAAGATTCTCAAGACTGCAGCAGCTCAAACCCCAGCCTTCAGAGAGTGGAATACTCTTTTCAACTCTCTCCTGCTGACTTGAGCGGGTCGAGCAGAGGCGCCCGGCGAGGCTCCCTCAGACTCAGAAGAATGCCCCCCTGCACCCGGCCCTGAGGTCTCAGAGGCAGAGGAGCTCGGAGCAGCTTCCCGAGGCACCCTGCCCCGAGAGCTACTCAGCGGCTGACTAAGGGTCTATCGGCTCTCTCCGCTCGGCTCGTAGAGCCGCGGCAGAAACATTTTCTCGGACTCAGGAGCGAGGGCGGGCGGGCCTGGCGCCCATAGCTCCGCAGGCCTGCGCCTTGCTCGGAGGCTCAAGGAGCAGAGCCGGAGGGCAGGGTCCCTGGCATGCGTCCCGCCCCCACCCGAGCAAGCTCGCTGCAGCCTGCTTGAGGAAGGTCTGAGGGGCATCGACACTGAGAAGCGCCGGCGGGGGTCTCGGAGGAGCAAGGAGGGTGGGACTGGAGAGCGCGGAGCGGGCAGCCCGGTTACCTTTGCCATTGTTTTCCTTTAGCGGCGCGGCGCCGAGACCGCCGGGGGAGCGCAGCGCCGAACAGCCCACCTCCACGTCGCTGCTCATGTCAGCCTCGGCGGCCGCCTCGGAATAATGGCCCGGTTTCTTGCGGCTCTCGGTGGTGGAGGCAATTTCGGAGGAGACGGTGCTTTCGCTCCCCGGGTGCTGCAGGTTGAACAGAGTGTCTATTTCGAATTTGCCCTTGGCTGGGAGGTCTCCCAGAGCACCGTGCAGTGGGGCGGACGGCAGGCGCGGGCTGAGGCGAGCCGGGTGCTGCGAATTTTCCAGGGCCTCGAGCACAGCATTGCCAGCCGAATCGGATAAATTGGAGAATCTTTTGCCGGCCGTGGGGCTGTGCAGTCCTCTCTCCATCAGAATCATCTCTTTTCTTATTCTTTCCATCATCTCAGCTTTCTTAAAAATGTCACAGCGGCCCGGCTGTCCCGTCCTAATGATGGGCTGTGCCTAGGGCTAATTCTCATTCAGCCCCAGCGAGAGCCTCTAAATATTATTATCTCTTTTGGAGGGAGGCGGAAAAATTGTGGGATGCCAGAGCGAGGGAATGACTGGTCAAAATGACCCATGCATCCTTCCGAGCCCGAGATGTCATTCATCAAAAAGTAGCGCCCGCTCGTCATTAAGGTACGAATGACGCCTTCGAATAATCATTTATTGTAACAGGTTTATAAGCAAATAAATACACGCTCCTGTCAGTGGGTAATGAAGGCGGCTTCAGAGCAGACAAATAGATCCAGGTAGGAGGCGAGAAGAGACAAGAAGTGAGAAGGAAGGCTCCGGTCCTTTGCCCGCTCCGAGCCAGTTCTGCTCGCCCGGGGGTTTGGCCTCGGGGGTGAAATTGACAGTCTGATTAATAGAGCGCGCCGCGGCACATTTCCCCCTTCATTTAGGGGCATCATTACGCTCTCAGTTTGCTGGGTTGCCCCTTAGGTCCTAATCATGCAGCACCTTCCTCATTTTTCCTCGGACATGGATACGTGTTAAATAATAGATAACCCTTTGATTTTCCAGAGTAGATTCTCTGGAAGGATGCTTTTTTTTTTTTTTTTTTTTTTTTTTTTAACATTAAAACAGGGGGGGGGGGGGGGGGGGGCAAGGGGGAGGATGCAGGAAGAGTTGCGTAAGAAGACCTTGCGCCGCTCCTGTCTGGTTTACTTATCTTTGGGATTTCAGAACCAAATATGTATTTTATTTAACAAATAGGACGCCGAGTTCTCTCCCTCCCTACTTCTTCACCTCAGCCTGGATGCTCTCCTCCCACCCTGGGGGGGGGGGAATAGAGAGAGAGAGCATATCTCCCAGAGTTTTGAAGGCGCTTTCTTGCTACGTGGCCAGGGAGGTGCGTTGGGCCCGCGCCTCCAAACGGAAATCGTTAGATCCTCTCTGATTTTCTAACACCGTTTGCAGAATGAGTTCTGAACTCAAAGTCTCTGGTTTTTTACTTTTATAATCGTGTTGATGAATAGGCTCCTCGCCTACGCATGTTCCCTGGGGGAAATGAACTAGGCTGAACGATTTGATAGCAGAATTCGACAGCTAACATTAAATACAGTCGCGATTTACAGCGCCATACGGGCCGCTCCGAATTCACTTTTTACGTTGCCGGTTTTTCCCCTCCCTTCTCAAATAGAATTATTTGCAGCAAAGTCGCCGGAATTTGAGGTCAAAGGGGGAAAGAGGAGACAGCTTTCTTCCCCTACCACCCCTCTTCCCTTCCTCCCTTCCTCCCTTCCTTGCCTCCCCTCCTTCGCCTATTTGCTCCTTTTCCTTCTCTCTTTCCTCCCCCTCAACCCCAGCCCCTTACCTGTGGCCCGGGGTATTCCTGGTGCTGAGTCCAGGCTCGGAGACTCGCCTACCAGCCTTGCTGCTGCTCCTTGAGGCCTGAGCTTGGCGGCAGAGCCTTTTGGCGATAACTTTGATAGTCATAATGACGCTGGTGGCAACCATTTTAACGAAGATCAATCTTCACTCAAGGCCAGTCCTCATCTCCTCCCGCGGTTGCATCCCAACCTACCCGGACCCCCGAAGCACTGTGCCCACCCTCCAGCAGCCCAAAGGGGGACGAAAGAGGACAGGGACAGAACACGGAGGTCTGCCCGCGAGCTTCCGAAGCAGCCGAGAGATCCGGGCAATCTGGGCTCGGGTCCTGCATCCCCGCCCCAGAGCCAACCCAGACCCCAACAGGGGCCCCCTCCTTCCCGCTCTCCCGGCACACCCAGCACATCGGGGCGTGTGAGGGGCAAACCCGGGATCTATTTGCCCATCTGTCTGTTGGCTCTTTCCTTTTAACCTTGGACCCGTTGGGGGCGCATCAGGAATGTTAAGAGGAAGCGAGGTGTGAAATATATTTATATACATATACTGTATACACACATACGAGTATAGTTAATGCCAAAAGTTTCTCTCCTGCTCCCCTCGGCTCCGACTTATTTCTACAACGCAGGCTTTGCTTAGAAAATCAATTCCATCTCTTTAAGGTAATAAACGAAAAGCTCGATAGGCACGCTTTGGCTGGGGGGAAGGGGGGTGGCGGGGACAGGCGGCGGGGAACTCACAGTGGGCGTCAGACACCGGGACTAGGATTTGACCCGGCGTCCACCTCCGCCCCTGTCCCGGTGGCAACCCAGCTCCAAGTGATCAGCGTTCTCCTCACACCGGCATTCGGGCCATTGACGCGGTGGGACTTCAGCCCTGCGGACGCCCCCACTTGCTCTTCAGCCCTAGGCCCAGCTCCACCATTCCTGGCAGTCGCTCCGCAGCGACCTGGAAAGGGTCCCCCTACGCAGCCCCCGCTTGCTCCAGGGACTGAATGGGACACCTTGGTCCAGGCTCGGGTCTGTGGGGGACCAAGGCCCTGGCGGGAGTAAGGAAGAGCAGAGGCGCTGCCGGGGCGGAAATCCGTGGATGCCTTTATTGCTGTCGTTTGGCGCCCCCATCTGTTTTCCTCGCGGTTTCGGCTGCTGCGAGATGCTTTTCAATCGCGGAAGCCGCCGCTGGGGACTGAAGTGTGGCCGGAGACCCCTTCCATTATCACCCACTCCCTTCCCTTTTTTGGGACCCGGCGCCTCTAATCCCAAAGGCTGCTCCAAACCAGGCCTCCGTCTGTTGAAAAGGGAAAACACCATTTCTTGGCGACACCTTCATTCATTAGTGGTTTTGAAAATTATTTTGCACCTTTTAAATAATACTAATATTGCATTTCTAGCACATTCATTGTAAAAAGTACATTTGAGACCATGTCAGGGAAATTTTTCACAGTAAAAACACCTATATTTTCTCACTAAACTGCGTTTAGCTGACAATAATGTTTCGTGGGCGCAGTGAACATTCCATTCTAATATTTAATGTTCCTTAACTTACTCAGATTCCACACCTACTGGTAGGAATATTGGCTGACTTATAGAAAGCTCTTACTGTGCAATTACAAGTGTTTTATGTGTGTTATCTCCTCTACAGCTTACAGCAACTCTTCGAAATCTGTTCTATTATCCCCTTTTCAGAGATCAGGAACCTCCTACACAGAGAGGTTGGGGACTTGCTCATGATTTAAACTTATCTCAGATAATGTACAAGTCGTAAGGTAGCTTAAAAGCTTTGGGAAGCATTTTTTGGGTTGCTTTTCTCATTTTGCATGTCTTATGTAGATAAGACCTACTTTGAAAACATTTAGCCCATGTAAAGGGTATTGAGAAGATGAATGCAGTTCTGTTTATTGATGAAATAACAAACCTCACACCTCTCCCAGAATACGGAGGCTGAGGCTCGGAACCGGCCTGTCAAATGCCCCTGGATTTTAGACGCAGCCTCTGGGGCCGTCAGAGCTCCCGACCCACTCACTACCAAGGGAGAGGACCCACTCAAAACAGGACAAGAATCCAACCCAGGCCCACGTAGTTTGGCAGGAATTTTTAAGATTGGGGGAGGGGCGGCGGAGGCGGGAAGGACTTTCTCCATATGGACTTTAAAAAGCTCACTTTGCTCCAAAGGAGGAATGACATGAAAGAGGCCTAATATTTTTTTTTTGTTAGGCCTCCAGACTAAATATTTGTTTCTTGAGCAGCGGTGGGTCCTCCGAGGTGAAGTGGTAAACACTTTTGGCCTGCGACTACAGGTAATAAAAAACTGTCCTGGCTGCCGGAGGGGAGAGCACCGGTAAAGCCAGAGCTGCGGCGAGGCCCGGCTCTACGCTTCCGCGCCGCGGGCTCTGGGTAGCTGGGGCCGCCAACCCGCAGCTCTTCATCGGGACTCATGCTCGCTAGAGAGCTGTGGCTGCGGGGTGTGGTGAGACATCAGGACTGCCAGAGCTGGGGTTGCGAGCCCCGGGCACGTTTCCTTGAGGTTAAATGCAGTCCCCATCCTGGAGGTTTCTGTTCATAAGGAAAGACGCAAGTTTGGCTCAACTCCGGGCCTGACTTCGCACTGGCAATTTCGTGCTCCCATCCGTCGGCAGGCCGGCCTCTAGCTCTCTGTCTCGTCCGGATCTCTCTGGTTGCTTCTGACTCCCCTCCTGCGTCTCCCCCGCAACCCCGTGTCCCACCGGGGACGGTCACGAACGAGGAGTTGGATGGGTACTTTCTCTCTGGACTCTGGGGCTACAAAGACCCTTCGTCTGCCTCTAGATCGTGTGCCCACAGACGCGACGGGAAAACTTGCAGGGACATCTAGCGCCAGGCGTGGGGAATTGCGCGCCACCATGCAGGAAAGCCAAGCCCGACCGCTCGCCCCTCCGCCTCCCTCTCGGCTCCCCCTTCATGCTTAGGCACTTCCTTACCTTCATCCCCCTTGTCCTGCTGAGGACCACAATATGGATTTCCCATAGAGACAGCAGGCTCTGGAGATATATAGATAGGTAGATGGACAGATTTATTTTCTTTTATCCGAAATGGCTGACGGTGAGCATTTAGTGGACTTAAGCTAACAATAGTTTTGCTCAAAAAATATATTCCAAGGACCACACCACACCTTGAGATGTCGGACAAAACAGCAGCAAATTGTTTGCGGTCCCAGCTTTTATTTTCCAAAAAAGGCAACAAATTACCCTGGTACACTGGCTCTGGCCCCACCCTCCCTCGCCTTCTTCATGAAGTTAGTGCTTCTCTTCCAGGGAAGACCCTAGCTGTGTTTAATTCCCTCCAAACTGGAGAAGTTCTCTCCATCCCAAACAAGGATACATTGACCTGCCAGAGGCAAACCTGGTTTCACCAAATAACGCTTCGCATTCTGAGAGGGTTTTTTGCTGTTGTTGCAAACGATTTTCATTTAATAAAGCCTACTTGTGTTGTTAAACCCAAAAGGAATACATCTCAGACATAGAAAGTGCCCCAATGCAGCTTTCCACTGCCTGGGTATTGCTAGAGTCCCCTCTCTTGACTCCAGGTTTGGAATTGTTTGTTCTTTTGATATTTCCAGCCTGGGTGAAGCTGGGTATTTCCTAGAGAGGGAATATTAGCTCTGAAGTTTGTAGGCATAGACTTGGTTAAGAACAGTGTCCAGCCAGTTTCGATGGATTTAAGACTACTTTGGACTTAAGACAGTTAAGAACAGTGTCCAGCCAGTTTCGATGGATTTAAGACTACTTTAGACTTAAGACTGTTTCTACACTGAATCTTTGGCTTCTTACAAGCTAATTAGGAGGGTGTCCTGCACTTCCTGGTTGTGGCCATCAAGGCAAATGCTTTCAAAGGAATCCCCAGGATCCCACTATGATAGGACCCTGTCATCCTGGCCTTAATGGCCACCGATTATGTGGTTAATTGATCTCATTGCTGTCTTGGCAAGCAGAGCAACTTCAATAAATCCAAATCGCAGTCTGTATCTGCCCATTCTCCAGCCCAGGACAGGAGCACAATTTGAAAGATCATCTACAAGGAATAAAAGAGAGGGTGTAACTTCCACAATAGCATCAATTCTCAAAAAAGGGTGTTTGTGGAGGGAAAGGAGGAAGAAGAATAAGTGATGGGAGAGTAAATAGAACTTTGAGCAACAAAGGTCCATCCTAAATTTTCCACCAAAATCCAGAAAGGTGGCAAAACTAGTTTCACAGAAGAACAAGTGGTGTTTGGAGACAGTTGTGGTTGCAAAGGATTTTCGCTTAACAATGCCTATTTCTGTTGTAAAAATCCCAACATGATACACTCACTCACAAACACAGGGCTCAGCCTGTTCTGACCAGCTAAAGAAAATGATTCCCATTAAGTTTAAACCTGAAATCAGTTCAGAAACAGGGTACACAAGCTAAATGAAATAATTCTGCAAATTCAGCCTCAAAATTTCTTCCCTACTTACCACCCTCGGCTTGTAAACTATGTGTCTCATTAGTTCATAAACAAAGCAGCCCCAACTTTGCTCGGTACTCAACCACAGTCCTTTGATTGAATAGCAGTAGCTGCCCTGGGGTGGTGGGTTTACGGGCCCACATAGGACCCAGGCAGAGTCCCTTTCCTAGGGAAACCTCCTCCCACAGACTTCGGACCTCAAAGGCTGTGCTGGAAGCAGGTTCAGCAGCAGGATAACAAGAGGCTAAGCTCCTTATTATTCAAAAGCTCCCTGATCTCAGAACACCCGATGGATGAGCAGAGAAACCCCAATTCCTTGCAAAGGTCCCATAGGGCATTTGAAAGCAGAGCCACCATTGAGGAGTTTCTTTCAACCTGAGCATTAATTGGTTCCCCACCCCCCAACCCCCCAGTCCTGCACAGCCTATTTTGTAGCATGGAAAATTAAGCCAAAAGCAATGGGCAACTTGAAATGAGCAAAACTTGACAAATTCTTCCTTTCTATCTCAATTTCACTTTATTTTTAAAAAACATATAGTCGGTTATTGTAAGCCAAAAGCAATGGGCAACTTGAAATGAGCAAAACTTGACAAATTCTTCCTTTCTATCTTAATTTCACTTTATTTTTAAAAAAACATGTAGTCGGTTATTTCCATGTACTTATCAGATATAAAAAGGAACAGAAGTTTAAGGGCACAAAACCAGAGATATTTCCTTTTAAGAGATTGAAATTTCTTTGGTTCCAATTATGTCTTAGAAATATTTCAACAAATTTGTATTCTGAGGTCATAGAAAAGATTTTAAAGTATCTCCATGTTTTTCCTCTCTGAGTAAAGAAAATGGGGGGGGAGGAGAAATAAAACATTTCCACGTGGTCCGTGCTTGATGGTTTGCTACCAAAGTTGTTGAGTAAAGATGACCCAGCCTGACCCTTCCAAACAGTCAGCATCCTGTCACCTTGCCCTGCTTGGTCTTTTAAAATGTCAATCCAGCCTTCATTGCTAACTTTTGCCTTCTCCCAAGTAGTCAAAATTGTTCTCATCAGCAAACTTCTATTCCTACAATTTCCTTAAAAACTCAAGCCACTCCTGTCTCAAATTTGATCGTGAACATGTCTAGAACTTCAAAAAGGTCAAACAAATTCACTTGCTTTTCCTTTCCATCACCCCTCTTATAGCTTTTCCCTTTGAGCCTTTTATGGTTACTGCATTTTGCGTGTCAACACTCCCAACACCGGCAGCCCACCCTGCAATGCCAGGCCTGTCCTAGAAGGGCCTCCTTGGCTCTCTTTCTCATCCTACTCAGGGCCTATCTTTGGTCTGGGAACAGCAGGGCTGGGTGACAAGCTGTCCTCACCAATCACAGGCTTAGAGGAACTATTTTCTTAAAGGTGGGTTGGCCTGAGGAATTGATGCCACAGAACCAAACGGGCTCACTCTGAGGGCTCCCAGACCCACCTCAGCACCCTTGGCTCCTTGGATCTAATATTGCTTTTAAGGCAGAGCTTTACATTCACTGCAGAACTCACACCAGTGCCCCATTAATTGCTAAGATTGGGAGATGGTGGGCTGGAGCTCTGAGGCTAAGGAATGGCAGGAAAGGGTGAAGAGGGATCAGGGCTGTGATCTCCAACACCCTGGCAGCAGGACCCCACGGTGGGCCTAGATCTACCAGCGCTGCCCCTGGCCCACCCTAACCCCATGAAGTCAGACCCAGTTGTTCTTGGCTGCTCCTATCCCAAGCCTCAACTTTGCTTGGAAAAAGCGCCCTCTTAATTTACCCTTCTCAGTTCTCTGCAGTTGACAACTTGGAAAAGGAAGCGAAACAAAGGTCCATGGGAAAGTGAAGTTTTCAATTAATTGGTGTGAGTAACGGATGGGGCGGGTGGCGGTTGCAAAATGCAAGAGGCTGGTCTGCTTCGGGCGAGATGCAGAAGCTTCGTAGCAGACGGCAGAGTGGCTTTCTTCCCCGGCGCCCTTGTCAGGGTTTTTCTGCCAGCCGTGGGAGGTCGCGTCGAGGCTGCGGAGCCCAGCTCGGGAGGCGACTCCTGGCTGGCCCAAGTGTAGAGGCAAATAGCGTGGACCAGACATCCAAGAACTTTGCTTGCTGGGGCAGATTGTCAGGCTCGCCGCGCCGAGGCCGGGTCTTTCGCCTGCTTGACTTATTTGTAAGTCTCTGCCCTCCGCCTCCAAGGGCGCTTCGTGGGTACTTTCCGGCGGACAGCGTGCGTGTGTAGGAAGAGTCTGCTCCAATTGGTTTTATATGCGTGAAATGCCTTTGCCCGGTAGCAATGAGCAAAGTAGGGACAATTGTCTTCCCTCGGGTTTGGAGTCTAGAGGTTGGCTAACAGAAGGACTAAGCAAAAGGATGAAAAACTGTTTTCACATCGTTCTGATTATCTCCGTCCTTCATCTTCATTTTGTTGTGCAGCTCACGGAGCCAAGGAGAGGTGGCAAAAACAGCCTTTGCCGAGGCAAGGCGCAGGCCTTGGGCGCCCGCCTCAGTCGCAGACAGGGCCTGGGATGGGCCACCGCGCAATCAACTCTTGGGGGTGGCTGTGGCGCAAACGCCTGGGTCTGGGGGAGGGCGGGAATGGGAGGTGGGCCGCTCAAGGGGCTAGAAAGGGGTGGGGGCCGGGTGGGTGGGTCCAGCCAGACCCGGG